CCCCAAAACCCCAAAACCCCATTGAAAGTATCATTACTTTAAATTGATGAAATAAATAGGAAATATCAAATATTATTTAATAGTCAAGTACCGACCGAAACCCCTCCACTTGGAGTTACAAACACCTTTAATTTATCTGTGCTATTATCTTGTCTTAACTACGTTATAAAATTAAAAACTAAATTTACGCTTACCTTTCTGTAGTATTTATATTGTAGAATCTATGCCGGAGAAAAACTATTTTGACTCTTGATAGCAGAATAACCAATTCTCTAAGATTTTTAGGAAATAATAAGACTTACTTCAGCTTCAATGATTCTTGATTGACTATTGGAGTTTGCAACTTCATTGATAATCTTTATTTACTTGCTAGTGTCGGCAGAAATTTAAGCAACTTTACTTGCGTACTGAGACTGAATAACACTGATTTGCCCTTGAAGTACATCAATAACCTATTGCTGAATGGCAGTCTCGGCTGCTCTTTTGGAAGACTGTTGATTCTCAATAGATGCTTCAAAGGTATTGTCCAGCTGCACATCTGTTATTAAAAATGCTATAACTTCAGCATAATTGCTTCTAAAAACCTAGTTCACTTTTGAACCCATTACTTGCTCGATTTTCTCTCTCTGGGTAAAGAAGTCATTGTTTGAATAATCTTCAGGTACCTTTTAAATAGCATCCTAATGATAGCTTAATTTTTTTAAATTTTACCTTGGCAAACAAGACATAATCTCTTTGGTTGCTTTTGGTAGGCCATTTTTTATAAATTTCATGGAGGTACTCTTCTCTTATCCTGTATAAAATAGCTACTTCTAAATAAACATTTGAAGGATTGGAAGTCTTGGAATTTATGGCAGCACTATCCCCTCCTGCTCCAAATGTGATCCAAGTCCATTGAGTTGAGTAATCTATGAATTTATATTAGGGATTGATATAATATCTATCAAAAGAGGTTAAATCAATCTAAGCTTACTTTCCAGGCTGATATACTATGCCAGCTTCGATCTGTTTAGATATCGATTGGATTTTTATAGCACTTGTTCTGAGGCTAACATCTCCAAATGAGACACCTAGCAGCACTGCTGAGATGATCAATACTATAATGGCAAATATCAATGATAAAGCCAAAGCGCAGCCTTTCTTCATTAAATTAAAATCTACTGATTAATTATATTTTAATTAGTGAAATTCATAGATTTTAATACCTTTTCATTTTTTTTATTTGATAGCTTTTTATCAGATCTACTTTGGGGTTTTGGGGTTTTGGGGG